AAGATCCCGAGAGGAGAATGGAAGAGAAGGGATGGTGGTGTGGCCATCCCCCCTGGGGGGTGATTTCTCGCTTTCTGTCTCTCTGTCTCTCTCTGTCTGTCCGGCGAGCGCACACGCTCTATAGCAAAAACCTCTCCAAAAATAAATAAATAAATAAATAAATTCCAGACCCCAAAGAAAGACAAGATAGGAAGATCAATAAATCTATAAGTAAACAAAGCCCACAGCATTTCAAAAGTTGATTAAATGCTGGTCATCTCTGAGTTTTGTAAAAACAGGGATAAGGATTCTAACAGTAACCACCCGAACAACCCCGGGACCAACACCACAACCACAAGTCCTTTTCATGGATAAATAACAAATTTTGTCTTAAAAATGTGTGAAGAAAAGATCCTATCCTATAAAGAAGTTAAAGATTATAACACTCAGGAGGAAAAGGAAGATCTGTTAACAGATCTCTACTAAAGAGAAATAAAGTATTTATCATGCAACTGCTTGGACTTTGGATAAAACACAAGAAAGAATGAGATACTTTTAAGTCCAGAGAGCTAAAATGAGAAAGATAACAAACGATTTCTTCAAAGATGGCAAAAATAAAAACATCAAAAATCAGGTGTTGGGACCAGCAGGTGACGGGGTGGTTAAAGTGCTAGACACTCCCACATGGCCAACCATGGTTCCAGTCTCGGACCTGGTGGCTCTCTCTCTCTCTCTCTCTCTCTCTCTCTTTCTCTCTCTCTGGTTAGAATAAAATAAATGAACCAATAAATTAAAGATTAAATAAATAATTATTTAAAAAGAAATCAGGTGTATTTCTTTTCTATTGCCACTATAACAAATTACCACAAATTTAGTGGCTAAAATAACATGACCTATTCTCAGAGTTCTGAATGGCAAAAGTCCACAATGACTCCTAAGGGACTAAAAGCACGGTGCCAATGAGGCTGGTTTCTTCTGGAGGATCCAGTACAAATCTGTCGGTGCCGTTTGGAGGCTGCCACGTCCTCTGGTTTATGTTTGCAGGCTCCAGTCTCTGCCTCTGTCCCCACTCCCTTCTTGCTTTGCCCTTCATGCCTTCATTTCACAGGGACCTGTGACTACACTGGGCTGACCTGGAGAGCCCAGGAAATCTCCCCCTCTCAATATCCTTCATTTACTCACATCTGAGAGCCTCTTTTGCTATGTAAGGTAGCATAGTCTGCCACAGTGAGGGATTTGAAATAAACTGCAAAATTGCAACCACAGAGTTAAAAACAATTTTTAGAAAGCAGGGTAGGGCCACGCCTGTAGCTCAGTGGTTATGTTCAGTGCGCCTGGAGTCAGAGCCCACATGCCTTGAGCCAGGGTTCAAACCCCAGCCTCTGCAGCTTGAAAAACACACCAGGAGTGTGTGCATGTGTGCCTGAAATCCTGATGAAATGCAGACGTGGGAGAACAGGAATTGCAGTGCTCCTAGGCCCCACTGAGCCCGTTGTGGAGGGGCAAGTTCTCTCTCTTCATTTCTGGGAATTACACACATCTTCTTGCAACTAAAGGGAAAAACAAACAAAAACCCCTAGAAAGGCAGCACACAGTCACCACGAGAGAATCTGACTCCGATGTAGGAGACTGAATTGAGACTCTCTCCTAAAAAGCATAGATGAAAAGCAAAACACAAAACGTGATGAAAGGAGAGACGGTCAGCACATTCGGACTCAATCCCTGTCAGTGTCTTAGATGGAATCGGAGCAAACTGAGCAGATAAGAGCTTCAGCCCAGTCCTTCCTGGGCTGAAGAGAATTTTAAGGTTTTAAATTAAAGAATACCTCCAGATGCTTTAAAAAAAAAAAAAAGTGTATCAAGAGACCAACACCTAAACAAATCTCTATTTCAAAAAATTAATGTGGCCCCAGTAGATACTGAGGCTGAAAAGGCATGATACTTAGAATAAAGAATAAAGAATAAATCTCATGCTGATCTCGAACTTGTCTTCTGAGATGCCAAAATAGCAAAACAAAGCCTACACAGTTGGGTTGTTGGCTTTTTTCAAAAGTTCATTTATTTTGTTATTGACAATGACATGTATGATTAAGCTACCATGCAGTGTATTCTGGATGGGAAATTACATTTTGTATGCTGTGATGATGCTCAGTGAATGAATGTGAATTAATCAACTTAAAAAATAA